ACTGCCACTAAAGGCGGAGCGAAAGATTCTGAAACAGTTTTGACAGTTACAACTGATTATCTCGTTTATTAGAAAAAACATTCATTTACGGAGGGAAAGAGTTGGGGGGGGGAGAGTGGGAGGGGCTCTAAGCCCTTTAGCCCTTCACTACGCCCCGCCTCTGGGCCCAGTCTTACCTTGTACAAGATGGTGGTCTTCCCAGCAGCGTCTAGCCCCAGCATGAGGACCCGGGTGGGCGGCCCACTGGAGAAACTCGTCAACGCCTCGTGCAGCTTGGCTAGGAACAGACCCATGTTGCCGGTGTGTAGAGTGTAGCCGTTGTGTAGAAGTCCTATATATTAAATGTGTCACACGTTTTCCTTCTGTGGTACACTACACGTTTACTGGCTGAATTTCGTAGTCACCCAACTGTTCAATTTTCTTGGAGATCTTCTAGATATATCTACGTCCTCTAGATGAAAAACACAAACGTGATACTGATGATGTATCCTTCTGTCTCACTGTGGGGGTAGATCTATGTGAGTTGGAGAACTGCTGTAGTCAACTGTGACTGAAAGTGAAGGACAATCCAAAACTTATTCAGTTTTAGCGATGCGAACTGTACGGTGTCGATCGTTTGAGATGATGGAACATTTGTGCGGCAAGCCCTGTATATATAGCGGCAGTGTGTGCATGAGTGTGTGTGTGTGTGTCCATGGTTTGTGCAATATCAGCGGTCACCGGCATGGTTCTGTTGACGTGGTTCAGCCAGGCAGCCAGAAAACACGTGGAGTTACTAAAAATAGCATCGGTGTCCACGGTTCGCTTGAGTCCATGGCTCCGCCGACAGCCAATGGCAGGCCAGAGGACAACATGGCAGTACCAAGCTGTCACTGTTTTCGTCAGAACAGCTCGCTCTATTGGTTTCCCCCTTTGGATATAAATAGTAACACTGTCATGGGGCAGCGATAAAAACAAACAATTATTGAAACAAGCCAAATTTTATTAAAACGTTCGCAAGGGAAGTCAGAGTATACAATTTTCGTCTGATTAGTGTTTAATTTACAAGAATTTGCTGAGATTAGCAGTTAAAATGTCATGTTTGTAAGTCTTGAAAGTGAAAGTAAGTCACAATCACAAGACCAAGGCCATCCCAGTGAGCCCAGAGGTCAGCAGAAGCGACACTCCAGGATTCATGAACAGCAAAATATATCTCTTTGTATAAACACAATAAAGTCTTAAATAAATATGAAGCTCTAGTTTTAAATCCAGGCTCAGAGACTGTAGGCTCCCCCCCCCCT